TTTTTTTTTTTTTTTTTTTTTTTTTTTTTTTGGGTGGGTGCCACTGGGTGGGTGGTTTGGTGATAGGTCTGTCTGAAGTTGAAATTTGATGCATTGATCATCTCTTTGTGAAATTTGTAGTTGAGACCGACCGACCAATTGCGGGACGCAGGTGGTCGATCGCAATACCTGAGACCGATCGAGTCGGATCGACCACTTGCAATTTTTGCAGTTCAGCGTCCCGTAGTACCACAGGCATACCGGAAACCGCCTGCATCTGGACGGGTTGCTAGGCGGAGACTGGGCGGGCTTTAAGGTGCCACCAAGCGACAGCAAATGCCCGGTCTCTGCCTAGCATCTGGACCGACCGATCTACTTGTATCACTTCCCCCTTTTTTTCGCCGCTGCTCCCGACCTCCCTCCCTCGCTTTTCTCGCTGTTCCCGACCCCCTTTTTTTCCCCGCGGCTCCCAACCTCCCTCCCTCGGTTTCCTCGCTGCTCCCGACCGGCGAAAAGATCCGCCAATCGGAAGATTTAGAGGCAGAAGGAAGACGAACGACGGAGGAGTTGATGACAGCCGGACTAGAAAATGGGATCGTTGATTGAGCATCTATGATCCTTTTTTTTTTTCTTTTTAATCCTTGTTCGTTCAGATTCCAGAATTTTTCCGCTTGATTGCCCTTTCTTGTGCGCTGTTCAAGTCGATTGGACAAGAACCTAAGAAGTCTTTTTTTTTTTTTTTTTTTAATGACAAAGATATGAAAATGGTTGTCCAGAAGTACATGCCAGCATGCATTAGACAAGTGTTTGGCATGCTTCTAGCATATGGTCCAGACCGTCCAGTAGCTGATCCTATGTCTGAAGACTGTCAAGTTATCAAGTTATCAACGAAAGAAGTGTACATCTGTTTGATTGTTGTTCTTCCTACCTTATTTCTTCACTTCAATAGAATGGAGGGTTTTTTTTTTTTTTTTTTTTTTTTTTTTTTTTTTTACCAAATATATTTTTTTTTATATACAAAACCGGGAACCGGACCCAGGCCCAGAGTCCCTTACAAATATTGCATTGTTATTATAGGCTCATAGCTGTATTTGGCCCAACTTTCAGTCTTAGGTACAGTGATCAGGACTGTGAAGACGGTAGTGGTACTTCCCTCTCTCTCTCTCTCTCTCTCTCTCTCTCTCTCTCTCTCTGACATTCAGAAGGGGATCGAAGAGTAGTCTGCTGTGAAGCCAGTATTCTTTTTTATTATTATTTTTTTGGGCCTGTAATTTCTTCTGGTCCCTGCATCCCGTCATTTCTTTCCTATTTTGTCAAAAGGAATTTTGCACAAACCTTTTTTTTTTTTCTAGATCCTCCCGGCAAAGAAGGACTAGTGGCTCTGAGGACAGAAGGGAAAAAAGAGAGAAGGGAGGAACAGTGGAGGAAAAAGGAGAGGGGGGAGAAAAGGAGATGGGGGCTGGGGAGCAGGGACGTAAGCGGAAGGGGAAAAAGAAGGCAAAAAGTGAAAAATGAAGTGGGGGCATGTTTCTCATTTGTGCAACTTGGGGCAGGGCATATTCACAATAATAGCAGTTCCATGACTGAATATGGTCGTAAATGCTCTTCAGATTCTTAACCAAAAGGTCCTGGTCTGCACATTCATGTCCTTGCTCTGCAGTGCTTTTCTGGTTTCTCACGAAAAAAAAAGTGATATCTCCAAAGGATGACGGATAATGTTTTTGTGTTTTTTGTTTTTTTTTTAAGAATGGGTTTTTGTCCCTCACTGCCATTCCTTGCCCAGGGCGATGAAGGGTTTTCATCTTTTTTTTATTTTTTTTTTTTGCACTGAACAGTACTTGTTCCCAGCCTTTTTGTTCCGATGAGGCCGTAAACGTGCCATGTCCTTTGGCGCTCAGCCTGCGGGAGCAACATGGCTGGAGGTGCCAGGCGAAAAAACCCATAAAAAGGTGCGCCCTTGCCAGGTTGTTTTTTATTGGTGCAAAGTAGAATCCGCATGGGGAAAAAGAGCCTCGGAAGTACTGGGGGCCAAGTCCAACTTATGCTGATTCTTCATTTCTGGCCGTTTATCTTCGTAATCTACGGTCAGAAGTTGAGATTTCGGGTACGAAGTGGGATTTGGCCCCTGGTGGTCTGAATGGGCATCGGCCTTGAGATCTGACCATCGACCTGACCGACCCCAGGGGTCTGGTCCCACCTACCGTTGTTGAGTTCAGAAAATTTAACGGTGTGACGCCATTTCTACATTAATAAATTCGAAATAAGAAATTAAAAAACTGAAAAAAAACGCTAGAAACGGTTGTTCTCCTTATTTTTTATAATGTAACTCAGAGAAATGAAATGTGTCTGGAACAGTCGGAGTGAGTGAATGTCTCCGTGGAAAAGGGATACTCCCCGTGGTGAGGGGACAGGAGGTCACCATTTGTAGAATGGACAGGGACAAAGTGGATGGCCAAATGCGTTCATTGCCCAAAGAAGGAAACGAGTTGGCAGGGTGGATCTGCAGGGTTGGGTGATATCCAAGGGTGATATCCCAGGGTGATTGGCCTTGGTTTTGTAGGGTTTGATTTTGTTGTTTCGTTTTTTAGGTCATCCGCATTGTACATGTTTAGGATTTTGTCATTTCGTTGAATTCGTTGTGTAGCCCTGTAATGGATTGTAGGGTCGGCTGTTTTTTTTTCATTGGGACAACCTTTTCTACGATATAAGAGACGCCGGAACCGTTTTCCGGCTTTTATAATTCAAAAGTGGCCGTTGTATGAACCAGGCCGGAGTGCCTGGATCATACGACTCTCTGGCTGCAAAGGGCCAAAGCATACTACAAGACGGATTTCACGTCAAAGGAAAATTCTACAAAATGACAAATTCTAAAAGGTCATTCTCCTGTATTTCGGTACCATTAGATTGCAATACATCAACGGCAGAGCTCCGTCCCACCATACCACACGTGATAGAAAGCTCAGCGTTGAGAAAACTCAACGCTGTAGGTGGGGCCGAACACCAGGTAATTCAAGAGTTGTTCTTTTTTTTTTCAAAAGACATTACTTGTTTCTATGAAAAAGAAACAAAAAGAAACAAAAAGAAACACCCGATGTCAGATTAGACACAATATTGAATTTACCTGGGCTGGTTAGTCCGATGATAGTACCTCAAGGCTTCTGAAAAAAAAAAAAAAAACTTGAAAAAGAAACTTTTTTTTTTAAATTATAAAAATAAATATAAAAAAAAGTAATTAAAAAAAAAAAAAGACCTTACTCACTTCTGCTGTATCTATGGGACGCTGGGCCCGATTCCCAACAGGTGTTGCTCCCCACGAATAAGGAAGGAGCTGAGCTGAGCTGAGGAGCTGCTGGCCTCTACAACGGACATGGACTCTTGTCACTGCCTGCCGTAGGAGAGCCCTAGGTAGTCGATGATTATTCGAACAACGGACATGGACTCTCTTATCCCTGCCTACTGTAGGAGGGCCCAAGGCGCGAAATGCATCATCGATGGTCCTTTGAAGAACAATGGATGGGCCCACAAAAGGAAATGGGAGAATGATGTCAGGACAGCAATCTGGTGTGGAAGACCGGTCTGGCACAGCAAAGGCTATGGAAACTGAAACCTGTGGAGTGCTTCCCTTTTTTTTTTTTTTTTTTTTTTTTTTTTTTTTTTTTTTTTTAAAACCCCTCAACCCTTCTTCCTGGCAATCAGTCTACCCATCTTTTGCCCACCTGCTCTTTCCCTCATTTTACACATATCGGCCGCCACCCCCACCCCCAGATTCTGCTGCTCTTTCCCTCATTACCTGTCTTTTGCCCCACCTGCTCTTCCCCTCATCATCCATCTTTGTCCCAGGCCCTCGCACCTGTCCCGCTACCAAATGCGAGCCGGAGCTGACCGGTGTTCGCTTGCAACATACTGACAAACAGCCAAAAGACAGGAAAAGGGAGCATCGATGAGCGGGAGAAGTACAGCACAGGGAGGCCGCAGCAGAACTGTAGAACTGCAGCAGGCGTATGCGCCCCCCCCCCTTCCCCCCTCCGTCGGGACAAGGGTCAGGGGAGAACGTGGCGATGGAGACGGATGAGTGCATCGCAGTGATGAAATGTTATGAAACT